GCTTTGACGTCTTAGAACACGGGGGGGGGGGGTTGGGGGGTGTTTGAAACAGCTTAACATTAAAAATAGGATGTTCCCAAAAAACTTACAACTGATGCTGCATCTTCTATTCTAATTCTATAAGAGCTGAAGCATATTGCAAATACAACTCAATTTATTTGGTCTTCAAAAAAAAACAACTTTAAAACCAGACTGCTTTCATAGCAATGTTGAAGCTGTCAGCTGAGAGAACACACACATACACTTGTGTGTGCAAACACACACATGGCGAACCTCACTGAGCACAACTGGAACACCCCATTCAGTATTTGGATTACATCTGTGTTCTTCTGAATCCATGATAGCTGTAATTTAAAATGCTAGTTACCTTTTTTTAATATACACATGGTTTCCATGGAAACCCAAGATTCTGACATCTATTACTCACGGTTCTGCGAAGCTCTCTAGTGAAAGGGCCAAATTCCACAACCTTTACTCAAATATGCACATACCTAACCAAAGCCAACGAACAGGGGTGAAGATGGTTTAGAAAAGGGGTTGCAGGGTCAAAGTCTAGATTTGAAAAATCAACATGACAGATTGTCATTCAAAAAAGGTTTCTAAGTCATTCTTTGGTTTATTTCCATGATTCTCAACACTGTCCAAAAAGCCCAGTGACAGTCACACGAGAAACCATAGCTCTAAAGCAAGCCCACAGCATTTTTAAATCTTGTGTATTAAATGTTCAGAAGACTACAGGAATTCAGAGTACCCCCTACATTCATGTCCCCAGAAATCTAGTAACTGCTTAAGTGCATGCACTGAGGCATGACCGGCATGCCTGTAAGTTCATATTGTTCAAGTTAAGAGTAAATATAGCTGCAAAAAACCCCACCCACCTATAATTAAATGGTCATTACTAGCAATACTATAGTGACTGTCTTGTTATTAAAGAAATGCAGACATGGCTTCTGCCTGTTTGGCTTGCTCAGCCAAAAGGAAGCTGTCTGCTCTATTTAGAAAGAAAACAAATTTTAAGAATCCAAGGGAGTTTAGTATTTCCATGTTCCTGGGGTCAATTATTAATGAAAAGATCAAGACAAATGGCAAGTATATGAAAGCATATCTCGTACATTCCAAGGTTTGGAAGTCAAAAGCAGATCTTAACTTCTTTATGCTTAAATGTTATGGTAGGCTTGAAAAACCAGTAAGAAGTGATACAGTATTTCCATGAAAAGAAAAGTAGAACTAAGTCTAACTGGCATTTGTATGCAAGTAGGTTTTGCTATGCTTTATGTAAGGCAGATTTTATTGCAAAGATAGTTACCAGTCTGCTAGTAGGAAGAAAATACAGGCAACTATACTCAGAGAAGATGGCTGATAATTACTAGTGACAACTTCTATTTTTCAGAACAACTCAGCTTTAATGTACTTTCTGGAAACAGCATTTTCATCACTTGTTTTCACTTCCTTCCCCATCCCATGTAAAGTATCAAAAATCAAGACTGGACAAAATGAATTGTGGATATTTACCAAACAACATCTCATATTCCAATGTTATTTTTAACTGGAACAAATATAGGTCATTCTTTATAACCTACTGCCAGTGGTTGTTTATAAATATCTGCTTGCTGCAATAAACACTGGTCATTGAAATATTCATTTGCAGTAACTACTTGGCACTAGGTTAATATACTTGTAAAGTTTAATGGAAGTGCTTCTGATGTACGTACAAGCACTTAAACATCAGACTTTTAAAACTTAGTTTTGGGGTTATAATATCTATAGTTACAGTTTTCACAAGCATTTCTGAAAGTATTAAATCTCTTCATAAGTTTAGAGGCTCCTGTCTCAGCATATCTAAGCTTCTCAACAATTACAGAACAGTTAATTTAACATTCTTGCTTCCTATGCTGAGACAACACAGTACCAAAATTTAGCTATAAAAAGAGGCATTTTTGGTCAGACTGACCTCCAGCTGTCCCTTAACAGAAAAGCGATACAGCTCAAACCTGTCTCCTCCCTCCAGAAAAAGACACCTAAGGCCACAAATTTACATTTGCCAGTATATCAGGTGTTTCTCTGTGGCAACTGTGTACATGCCCACTTAGAGAAATACAGTATAAAAGCCCCTCCACCACCTTTAAGGATAAACCACCTCAGAAGACAGTTTAGGCAGCAGTGCATATGGAACCACATTACATTGAAACAGTGTGTTAAAGCCATTCCAGCTAAACTAGTTTCTAGCAATGTTTAATCAAAATTCCTAACTGCAGAAAGAAAAAAAATAATCTTAATGTAGAGAGAGGCAAAAAGATGCAAAGATAACCACCACAATGATCCAATAGCAAAAACTCCTGTTTAAACATTTTCTTATGCTAAAAAAGGCACACAACCCCTTGTGAACTAGAGACAAAAGCTAGCAGTACTACAGCAATAAACCCAGAAGAAAAAGCCTACCAGAATTACCCAATTGCCTACTGAGAGGGAACAATGAAGTAGACAGGCTGCTCTTTCTCTGTTTTGTTTGCAGGGAAGTGGTCAAATTTAATAGTCAAATTTAGCCACATTAAGAAACATTTAACAAAAGCTACCCCAAGAAACCAGAATAAAACCTGACCTTTGGGTCAAAAGGCCACAGACAGGCCTTTCCATAGCGTGTAGCTGAGTGAGTTCAGAGATTGGCAATGAAAGAAAAAAAAGCTTTAGACATGTGATGGGAACAAGCTTTGGGATTTATCGAACAGTCACACCAAGCTTCTCCAGCACACGCACTCCCTTTTCTTGGTATTCTTGTCGGGTCATCCAGAAGTTGTCTTTGTCTTTCATGATGTCTGCTAGAACTGCGCCACCCAAAAACACCATGTGCTTTCGACGAGGTGGATCTTCAATTCGGATCTTAAATTTCTATGAAAGAGTAAAGAAACTGTTACTAGGATTCTTGAAACAAAGCCTTTCAAAATAAAATTGTGCTTTTCACCAGAACAATGACATGGAAACTGTTTAGTAAGAATAATGCACGCAAAAAACTGAAATGCTAGCATACTTGCGCAACCAAGTAAAATAACTACTTTGCACTGGAAATTAGAGAGAGCTATTGACACTTTCCCCAAAATTATATTCTCAGTGTATCCACAAGAAGCCCAAGAATCAGAATACAAAATTAAAGATGCTATTTTTGCATTTCATGAACATGGTAAAGAGTGAAATACTTCCTAAGCTTCGATGGCTAAAATTATCAGAAGTCACCAGATCATCAAATCACAAAATATTTTCAAATTATACCAAGTTTCAGAAGAGCAGACAGAACAGATTTTAAATTTACATCATCTAGACCAGCTTAACTAATTATTACTCCCTTAAATTCTTCAATGCTAAAGCTCTAACTTCAAGAGCAAAAAATAGTAAAGTCAAAGCTATGTATGAAATATCGTTTTAGACTTAAAACATTCCATAGAATTGAGTCATTCTATATAGCTGCAAAAGATCTTTAGAGACACTATTAAGAACCAGGGAAGTTCAATTCAGTTCAACATTACAAACTCCACTCAAAGGAATTTTCTCTGTAAGTATCTCCTCCTTGAAAAGCAGAGAGCATTACAATGCCATGTTACCTCTGTAACATGTGTGACTGTTATCTGCCTATCACAGTAACTGATGAACAAGGGAAATCAATAGCCTTTTACTTTTGAATATTTCACTTCTAGTATTAATGAGAACTTTCAAAGGTTTAAAAAAATCACTTTTGCTCAATTATCACTTTCTAAGGCACTAACACTCATTAGCTTTGTTAAACCTAAGTTACAAATTGCGCCCCAGCATTTATCAGTCCATTTTAGATCCAAACTAACCCAAGACTTCAGGAACTACCTGCTACTAGCACGGACTAGAAGGTAGCTTTATTGCAAGTAAACACACACAAGCCACCTATATGAAAAACCGGGGTGTGAAGAACAGAGAGGCAGCAATTTTGCAAGTTGGATGGAGGGCCACCTGCAGCTTCTGTCATTTCTGACCACTTGGTTCCCTCTAGTGGGGATTCAGGATAAACCTCGGCCCCACATAAACAGAACAGCAACTCGGTACCTACCGAGAGTTTTTCCACATCTCCTTTCAGAACTCGCTCCAGGTAGAGCTGTTTAAGTTCCCGCTCCAGTCGTGAAGGCAGCCCAGGGTACATGGTGGACCCTCCAGACAGCACAATGTGCTTGTAGAATTCAGACCTGATCAAGAAAATACTCTTTCTAGTGTCATATTGTATACACTGTAGTACAAGTAGGTATGTACAGGGGGGTAAATACAAATCTAAAAACCGGTCACTACACTAAAACAGCTTTTGCATGAGTTTGGCAGAGTTGCTCCTGCTTTTCCAGGCATCCCAGAAAGCAGCATTTAAAAAAAAAAATACAGTGCTTTCAAGGTTTTATCCTTGGCTCGTTCATACCAAAATAGTCAAGTTTCCAGCCAACCTGTTAAACTCCAAGATCTCAGACTGAGCCCCACTCCCAGTATACACCCTCCCCCAGCAGTACACATATTAGCATCCAAAGCAAAAGATGGTATTTTGTTTGAACGCAGTCCTCGCATCACCCCACACCCCGACAGAGGATTTTAAGTGTTCTGCTCTTACCTGGTATCAATATCAGCAGCCTGGATGGTGTTAAACAGCAATTCAGCCACACCAACCCCCTCTACATTGATTAAGTGAGGCTGGAAGAGAGCCTCTGGTGCCTCAAACCGTTCTCCACCAACTTTGATAATCCTGCCATCTGGGAGCTAGTAAAGAAAAAACACCATTTAGAAGACTACTTTTAGCCACTTAAAAACTAAAGTAACCAACAGGAAATTACCTACATCACTCCCTAATGTTTTAAAACAGGAAATTGTTGATAATTGTCACCACTGCAAAAAATCATTCAGTACTACTGAAAGAAGATACAAATTCTTCAATCGTTATGCAATTTACTTAGAGACATCCGGGACAAGATACATTGATAATGACGTACCAAACATTTCCTTGCAATACAGCTCCTACTATCGACTTAAAAGATGATCTTACAGCATGAATAATGCTTTCCTGCAAGTTCTTTTCTTCTGTGTGTGATCACAGCAAGTTTCCACTAAGAGCAAGTTTACCATTCTCGTCACCAGATACCAGTCTCACATGTGTCACTACTAGATGGATGAAGCTGAAACAGTCTGACATGCTAGAGTAAATCTACTTTCTCTACAAGTTCCCATAATTTAACATTCAAATTTCAAGGATCTACAATGACAAAAATGGGTACAAAGTCTTATGGAAAATCTGTGAGGAAAAAAAAAGTGAGCTACTGCCAAGGAAAACGTAAAAGGAATCAAAGCTAAATGGTACCAGAATTTAAATCTATGAGATTTAGGACAAGAAAAGCCATCTGAAAATACTCACTGTGTAGGATTCAACTAGTACTGTGGTCTCTAATGCCAGTTTCTGCTCCTGTTCAATGTTGTATCCCACGTAGCATAGCTTTTCCTTGATCATGCGAACAGTCTCAAAATCAGCAGAATGGTTGAAAGCATACCCACGCAGTAAGAGGAGCTAGAGAGAACATATTAGGTTAGCAGTAAAATGAGAGGAACAGTCCAGATCTCTTTATCAGTAGTTGCGTACATTCAGACACGTATCTTTAAAAGTTTCTCTCTTTAACTGTAAAGGTAGTATTAAGTCAAATCTGTCACAGTGTATCCATTATTACTAGCAAAGTAGAATAGCAGCAGCATTACTCCAAGTGGGAAATTTTCTTTGTCGTTACAACTTTCAGTATAACTGTTACAAAGACAAGTGAAAGATAACCAAAATAATTACTAAATTTAGGACTTCACTTCAGAACACTCCAGTATTCCAGTTTAACCATAAGATTTGTCAATCCAGAATATTGCTTATATTTAAAAAAAACCCAACCAAATAGTCTAAAAACATACTGTCTTATTTCATAATAAGAATCACTACAGTACTTCCCACTGAAAAAAAGTCTTTATGAAAACAGATGAGTAGAGCTGATAGAATACAATTTTGTTTTCATTTTATATGTCAAGAAAGCCAACCTCGAGTTTTTCCTGCCCAAATATGGAACAAAACCCCTTCCTACAAGATTGCCACTAAAAAAATAATCAAGTCTCTGAATAATATCAGTAATATCACACATTATTTAGATGAGGAAACATAAGGATAGACCGAAGCAATACAGATAATACAGGAGTTCTCTATGTAATTAACATACGAATATTAAAGGAAAAATATATAGTGGTTTCTTGCTATCAAGGGATTTTAACTTGAACCAATGTACCACAGGCACCAGCCTCAACCTTAATTCTTCCCAGCTTACCTTAATGAGGTACCTAGTGATATCCCTTCCAGCGATATCTAACCGTCTGGTGAGATGAGGGAGAGAGAAACCTTCATAAACTGGGCAAATATGAGTCACACCATCTCCAGAGTCCACAACAACACCAGTCAACAAACCTAAAAGAATGGGAGAAAAAAAAAAATACAACTTTTATTAGCACCTTCATAAACAGAGCAGAATAGTAGCAAGATTAAGATAGTTTTCTCACTGTAATCTTAACACAACCTCTGCTCCCCCAGTCATTATTTTGGGAGAAGAACCGATTCAGCTGGGTTTTAAACTGAAGGGGTTTGTAATAATAAATGTTTTTTAGAAGTATTACCTCTACTTTTTCCTAGATGCTTATAACCCTACCATTCACAATTTTATCTGGTGTTTTGAGATCTTAAATTGCATTCTAATTAAAGAGAATATCTAAGATCATTAAATGCTTGTTGGGGCACAAATTCCTCCTCCGATTCAACTAAGTGCAACCTTATATTAATTTCTCAAATATGAAGAAACCGAGAGGTATTCAGGCCACAAGTTTACCCTGTTACAATTATTAGGACTTGTTTATTTTTGTTGGTATTCAAAAAGATCAAAACAATGCTTTCATAAGGTAGAGAATATTTCGACTATACAGCACATGTCTAATTTTTTTCCCACAGAAATAGTGTTAGGCTTAATCAGATCCACTTTCATAGACTCAAGAAATCAACTTGGTTGAAAAAAGTTTACCATAAAATCACTAAATTCTAACATGTAAAAAACTGAGATACTGTAAGTATATATAAACAGAAGTTTCTATACTTTGCTAACAAAATAAATAAGAAGCAAAGTTAATGGTGAAAGTCAATTAGAAAACAGTTTCTCACATGCTACCTAAAACAGGACAATATATTTTAAGGGAAGCCCTTAAAATAACGAAGGAACATTTAATATGTAATGGCAAGGTGCATTGGTTTGGCTATTGTAATTTGCTCAAGCTTTGTAAACAGAAGGCAAACAAATTGGTTATTTGCCTCGAATGAACCAAAGAACACACCTCAGTTCAGTCATGTGATCAGATCTTCAGGTTTATTAGCGAACTGGAATAACCACTAGGCAAACACAACCAGTCTTGCAATCAGACACACTCAGTAAGGAAGGAAATAGTCACAAGGGACTACACCTAACTCCAGAGACCGTTGTGAGGAATTGCCAAAGAATTTCCTAATTAGAAAGGTTTTGATAGATAAGCCACTTTGCCTTTAAAAGGCACAGGAGCACACAGAATTCCATGTAAAAGCAACAATTAGTCTAAAGAGAGTTTTAACAGAACAACAAAACGCAGTGCGCTAAAATGAGGCACATCTCTATGTAATTTTAGCCACTACTTCAATCTTTATGTAATATAAATAGGAATTTTTAAATGTCTTTGTTTTATTTTCAAAAGCAAATGTTCTATTTATACGCCGCTAAGTTTTTATATCTTAGAGGGTCTTCAGCTTTCTTTTACATGACAGTTTGGAGAAACACCATGGCCTGTTCTAAGTTGTTTTACCTTTTGTTATTCACAATGTAATTGAGCACTACACAGTAAAATACATGTACAATTACAGCAGAATTTAAGACTATATATTAGTCAGTTAAATACTTATCACAGAATCATAGAATGGTTTGG